CCCATCCTCCCTCCCCTCCGCACGGCCCCCGAGGCGCCGCCGCCGGCGCATCCGCATCCGACGCATCCGCCGACCGCCCCTCCGTCCGTCCGTCGCCCGCGTCCCCGATGTAAGCCTCCCGCCGTCCCCTCCCCCATTTCGCACGGCTATCCGGTTTTCCCAATCCGGCGGCGGCGGCCGGCGCCGTTCCTCGCGATCGGGCCGCGCGGCGGGCTCCCGGCCGCGATCCGATGCGGTCCCTCCGGCCCGATGCGTCCTCCGGCGGCCGATTCGCGCGCGGCTTTTGTGTGTTAGGCTCGTGGTTAGGACGGCGCGTACGGCGCGTGCTGTTTGTTGGATTTAGGAGCGATGCGTGGTCCGCGTGGGATTGGCGGCCCGCGGCTCGTCTGGGCCCGATTTGGCGCCCGATTGGCCGGAGCCCCGCTGCAAAGGCGGGATTTTTCTCCGCCGTGGGTGGAGATCCCCTTGTGGGGGAGGAGGCATCGGGCGATGGAGATGCCCGCCCGGCTCCCTTTTGCGGCTGTGGTGGCATTCGATTCCGGCTAGAGGGCTGCGGTGCTAGGAACACAAGTCATGTCTTTAGGAGTGCCTCAAGCCCCTGCGTTGATTCCTCCCCAGATGTTTGTCTATCTGTCTGTCTGTCTCGGCTGCTCATGTTTGGTTTGCATAGGCATGGTGAAGGAGCGAGTTGTGAGCTGAGATTTTTACGTGTGTATATGTATGGTTGCCTGTCACCGTTTCCTTTTACCTGTATTCATTGTTTTGTGTTTGGTTTCTTGTGCATGGGGAGATTGCCAGGAGCGCCGAGGGGTGTAACGGCAGGCCGGGTTGCATGGACGGATAATGCCAGAGCTGCGAAGTGGTGTTCGGAGAGCTTGTCTGAGGTCCAGCAGGCTTGAAGACGTCCAGGCTGCAGATCAGGTAGCCGCTCCCGTGTTGCCAGCTCCCCGGGGGAGGGGTGGGAGGCGTGGTGGTGGTGGTGCGGCTGGCAGAGGCAACAAGAAAGCAGCTGCCGCGGGAAGAGGAAGGCCAGCTCCAAAGGCTAGAGGAAAGAGGGTCGAGGCTATTGATCTGACTGACCAGCCTTTCGAGGACATCCCTGAAGCTATCGTTGGAGAGGCAGTTGCAGCCACCGCCCAGCAGGACCTTGGTTTGAACAAGGTAGCTGACAGGGCCGCCAACTTCAAAATGGAAGGTGCAAGTGGTGATAGACTTGCAGCGGCGGAAGATGAAGCCACGACGACGCCAGTGCCTGAGAGGGTATGACTTCCTGTTTTTCCCGTGCACTTGTTTACGTCGGCTATCCTATTTCTACACTGATTGTGCAAGTATTTCTTCCCATTCCTCTATGTTTGTTATGTTACTTGCTAATGATGTTAACTTTGTTTGGTAATATTTGTACCATCATGTGGAAATGCATTGTTCTTTTGTTGTATCATGCATACCTATCTATCTCTCCTTTGGCAAGTAGTGTGTCCTTCTAGAAAATTTCTCATGATGTAATAAGTAATTATTGATTGTTGTTCATCTAAAGAATGAATGCGGCGAAAAGCTAAGCATGTGCATCAGAGATCGTGTTTATACTTCCATGAGAGTAGTCAAGACTGAGTGGCTGTATTATGGTAGTTTTGTTTTGTAGCAGAAAGCAAACATCTAATAAGATATTGAAATAGAAGCCAGTTGGAGTTAAAAAGAAGAAACTAATTTCACATCAACATAAATACAGAAATATTGTTGTTTTGGCTGCAAACCCAAATCAATTTTCATACTCTTCCTTTCTCCCTCTCTCTGGGAAAAGCACCGCATGTTTGTCTTCCACCGGTCATTGCTAATTATAGCAGAGTGACACACATTTCCTTAGTTCCCTAATTTGATGAATTTGCTGTGAATAGTACATATATATGGGGGTTTCCTTTTCCCATAATGTAATGACCAAAATAGGCTTCTCATTTTCTCTAGTGCTGCTTAGTTTGCTCTCGTGGTCATATTATTACTGATCCACCAATACAGTTTTGTATAGTAGAGTTCTGTTTACATGATATAAGCTCCTAAAAATCTGAATGTTACATCTAACTATTGCAGGTTCAAGTTGGTGGTTCTCCAGAATATATAACTGATAGGAAGTTGGGTAAAGGTGGATTTGGCCAGGTCTATGTTGGCAGAAGAATAACTGGTGGGGCTTCTCGTACGGGCCCAGATGCATACGAGGTTTCTTTTCTCACCTGCCTCAGTTGGACACTAGAGTCCTCCTTGATCTAGTTGAATCTTATATGGATTAATATGCTTTAGGTTGCACTCAAACTTGAACATCGAAGAAGCAAAGGATGTAGTTATGGCCCCCCGTTTGAGTGGCAGGTTTATCAGTAAGAACTATACATAATCCACCCTTTTTACATTTATGTTATTTTCTGTGGAGCATGGCATGCTAAACTTTCTGTGACAGGTCTCTCAATGGTTGTTATGGCATACCATCAGTCCACTACAAGGGTCGCCAGGGAGACTACTACATTCTTGTGAGTTCAACTATAGTTATGCAACTCCAGACTGCCTCTTAATATGATCCTTCATAGTCAATTCAACCTGCATTTCAAAATTTCAGGTAATGGATATGCTGGGTCCTAGCCTCTGGGATGTTTGGAATTCAATGGGACAGGCGTGAGTATCTTACTAATCTTTTCACCCTGTCAGCATGTTTTTCTTACTCCTTGCTGAAAGCACCAATATCCCAAACAGGATGTCTTCTCATATGGTTGCTTGCATTGCCGTTGAGTCCATATCAATCCTTGAGAAGCTTCATTCCAAAGGGTAATTTTCTACAGCCATGTGTCTCTGTCAATGATCCTGGAGTCCATGGACATCATTTTCCTATCCTTTGTTGGTATTAACACTTCTTCTGCTTCCTATTATTGTCAGCTTTGTCCATGGAGATGTAAAGCCAGAAAACTTTTTGCTTGGTCAACCTGGATCACCTGATGAGAAGAAGCTTTTCCTAATTGATCTTGGTTTAGGTATGTTCTTGTTTAAGACAGTTTCATCTTTATATGTAGATGTCCAGTTTCATATTTTCAGTGAGCTGTGGCCTTCAGTCATAAGAATCGCTACATAATAGGATGTTGATGGTTTGACACATTTTATGCGCCACTATAACCTTTTTCATGTGGTTCTGTTAATATCTAAATTATGCAGCATCCAAGTGGAAAAAAGCATCATCCAGTCAGCATGTTGAATATGACCAGAGGCCAGACATCTTTAGGTTGGTTCTATACTATATTCTTTATGTACAAAACTAAAAATTATTCACCTATTAACTAACCTATTTCCTTTTATGATTTCCAGGGGAACAATTAGATATGCTAGTGTCCATGCTCATTTAGGCCGTACAGGCAGTAGAAGGGATGATTTGGAGTCACTAGCGTACACCCTTATTTTTTTAATAAGAGGAAGATTACCTTGGCAAGGCTTTCAGGTAGCCTTAGATGCGCTCATAAGAGTTTGACTAATAATTTACTGTTTGCTCTTGAACCCATTTTAATGTTAATTGCTTATTAATGCAGGGAGACAACAAGATCTTTCTTGTTTGTAAGAAGAAGATGGCTACCTCTGCGGATGTTCTGAGTTGCTTCTGTCCACCTCCATTCAAACATTTTCTTGAGATGGTCACTAATATGAAATTTGATGAAGAGCCAAATTATGCAAAACTTATTTCTCTCTTTGATAGTCTGATTGAAGTGCCTGCTTCAAGACCCATCAGAATTGATGGTGCTCTAAAGGTTTGTTCTGCTGTACCTATGCTCCGTCGTTTTTTTTTGTATTAAAATTGATCATGCATCTGTTTTATGTATTGTAGGTTGGGCAGAAACGTGGAAGAATGGTTGTAAATCTTGAAGAAGAGGAACAGCCTAAGAAGAAAGTTCGGTTGGGGAGCCCAGCAACTCAATGGATTTCGGTTTATAATGCTAGGCGGCCTATGAAGCAGCGGTAATTGTCTTAAAATATGAATTTAGTGCAGAGTTCTTCATTCTTATGTCTGCTTGCCCAGACATTATTTCTTCTATGAATTCTCATTTCCTTGCCCTTGAAAAATTGGCCTGTTCTAGTGATTCAGGTACCATTTAAACTGACATAAGTTGTCTCTTGCACACATTATTGGCCAAACTTAGCCTAGTACACCCTCCCCTCTCTCTTCCTGACACATAGTCAGCAGTCAACTGTGCTGTGGTGATTCATGTTGAACATGCGATCGTTCTTAGTGTGAACTCACACTTTGAAGTGTCATTTACCTTGTAAAAGCTGTGATTCGAATTACACTATTATTGATTTTTGTAACTGAACCATTCATGGTAGCTCTAGTGATGGAAGGGGCTTGGTTTGTGTTTATTATGATTTAAGCTTGTGAAGCTCCTGTTTGGTTACTCTTGCTTTCTTGAGCCTGAGATATTTATTGGTCAATTATTTATCATCCTTCGTAAATTGATGCATTGGTTATTTGTCCTTTTTACAGATACCACTACAATGTAGCCGATTCAAGGTTGCACCAGCATATTGAAAAAGGCAATGAAGATGGCTTGTACATTAGTTGTGTAGCTTCTTCAGCAAATTTTTGGGCTCTCATAATGGACGCTGGGACCGGGTTTGGTTCTCAAGTGTATGAGCTTTCACAAATTTTCCTGCACAAGGTGCGCCACGGTCTCTGTCCTCGCTAGTTGGAATTTTGATAATCCAGAATCTTGATGCTATATTGTTTATGACTTTTTATATAGGATTGGATTATGGAGCAATGGGAAAAGAACTTCTATATAACAGCAATAGCTGGAGCAACCAATGGAAGCTCATTGGTTGTGATGTCCAAAGGTTTGTAAATTACCTGTTCTTTCTTGACAGCTGCTCATTTGTTGAAACTGCTCCCTTTGGTGAAGATCGCACGTTTGAGAGAGAACTGCTATACGTATAACACGAACTAGTATGCTTTTACTGATGTATCACATAAATGTTTGAGCACATAACTTGTGATCAGAGTGAGGAAAATTACTATATTAGATCATCTGTACCAAATTTATACCTGATTTTATCGTATGTGCAGTCGTTCCCTTTTAAAAATGAGCAGTTATCTGGAAACTAACATTTAGCAGAACCTCCAAGCCACCAAGGTTATGATAGAGGTCATCAGAATTGGTGTGTGGAGGTTGCCACAGCATTGTTGGTACAGGATACATCAGTCTGTCCTTGGTCACTGTTCTGATAAACTAGCGCTGAGCAAACATTTTTACTAGTTTTCTGTTTTTAATATTTACATACGAAGTTAAACAAATTATCAGCATCTGTCTACTGTCTAGATCCTTGATGTTTTGTATAGCCCGCTGTTCCCTTTTCCGTGATTTATACATGTAATCTGATCTTCGATATCATTACAGGAACTCCATACACACAGCAGTCATACAAAGTCAGTGAATCTTTTCCTTATAAGTGGATTAATAAAAAGTGGAAAGAAGGTTTTCATGTAACATCCATGGGTACTGCTGGGAACCGTTGGGGAGTTGTCATGTCGAGGAATGCGGGCTACTCTGACCAGGTCAAAACACATGCTGCACTTCTTTGTGATAAATTATTTGAAAATATAATTTTCATGAATTTGGTGGTCCCTCACGTATATAATTTCTCATGTGTTTAAACATACATTTGACGACTGCATATGTTATAAAAAAGAGGAAAAACAATACTTAACATATGTCTGCTTTTCAGTTCTGTAGATCTCTGCAAGCTAAACTCTTTTGAAAATTTAGATGGTTCACATCTGACAACCAGCAATTTGAGCATTGCATGTAAAATATGTAACTGTAAAAGCATATGCTGCTCTTCAAGGTTGGCTTCAGTTAACCTTGGAGAACTGGGTTCTGTACCGTTTCGATGAGTAATTATGTAGAGTTGTGCCAAGTCTGAATTTTCTTACATATAGGTCATAAGGTGTGGCCAGTGTGGTGTTGCCACATGACCGACCAGTGATGAAACTGAATCTGTGTTGCAACCTGCAGGTTGTAGAGTTGGATTTTCTGTATCCAAGTGAAGGACTCCATCGGCGATGGGAGAGTGGTTACAGAATAACTTCATCCGCAGGCACACCTGACCAAGCTGCTTTTATCTTGAGCATACCAAAGAGGAAGCCACTGGACGAGACCCAGGAAACCCTTCGAACTTCTGCCTTCCCCAGTAACCACGTGAAGGTACCTCGTGCATTTTTGTCCACCATGTGTTGATTAGTGCCTTTACCTAACCCAACCCTCGGAACCGAAAAATTTCAGGAAAAGTGGGCGAAGAACCTGTACATCGCCTCAATCTGCTACGGGCGAACCGCGTGTTGACGGCGTACTTGAGCTCGACGGCGAAATCACCCGAGTTTTACCACTGGAGCCAGAAGAGAGTTCGAGACGGAACAAACTCAGCGTCAACCTTATTATCTAGGTTTCGAGCGCAATTGGCTGGGCGCTGACACTGGCCCGGCCTCTTTTGGTTGGCGGCACGCTATTCTAATTGTAAAGAATCTTGCGAAGATCCTTGGTGTTGTTGTATCAGTCCTCATCGGATGGATATGAACCTGTTGATAAGCTAAGGTCATATTATTGGCAGATTTGCTGTTGCTCATTTTCGCAGCTCACCTGTAGCAATATCCTATGTGAGGAAGCTGCAGAGGCTGCTGTCAATCCCATGATGCAACTTTTGCTAACTGACTCCAAAAGGTTTGGCACACAGCACAGCACACCTGGATCATGATTCAGTTGCTGTCAATCCATGATGCAACCTTTGGTAACCGACTCCAAAAGGTTTTGGTACACAGCATACCTGGACGTAACCTAAGGGCTCCTTTGATTCAAAGGAATTTTATAGAATTTCTGAAGGATTGAAATCCTTAGGATTTTTTTCTATGTTGCTCCTTTGATTTATAGGATTGAATCCCATAAGAATTTTTCCTATGGAATTTTTTGTACTACATTTCATAGGAAATCTAACATCCACTCCAACCTTTTTTTACAATTCCTTTGTTTTTCCTGTGCAGTCAAACACTCGGGGCTCCTTTGATTCAAAGGAATTTTATAGGATTTCTGAAGGATTGAAATCCTTAGGATTTTTTTCTATGTTGCTCCTTTGATTCATAGGATTGAATCCCATAAGAATTTTTTCTATGAAATCTTTTGTACTACATTTCATAGGAAATCTAACATCCACTCCAACCTTTTTTTACAATTCCTTTGTTTTTCCTGTGCAGTCAAACACCCATTGCTAATCCTATAGGATTCAAGTGGGCATGCCACTCCAATCCTATACTTTTCCAATTCCTACGTTGTAAACATCCTAAGAATTAAAGAGACCCTCATTGCTAATCCTATAGGATTCAAGTGGGCATGCCACTCCAATCCTATACTTTTCCAATTCCTACGTTGTAAAAATCCTAAGAATTAAAGAGACCCTCATTGCTAATCCTATAGGATTTAAGTGGGCATGCCACTCCAATCCTATACTTTTTCAATTCCTACGTTGTCAAAATCCTAAGAATAAAAGAGGCCCTAAGTTGGGTTTTATATAGTGCCATGCCCATGCGCCTGAAATGAGATTAGTGTGTGGTCTGTTACAGTCTTACAGAGCCTATGTTGGGTTCGCCGTGCTATCCTTAGGACATTTTGACCTGTACGTCATTTCAACTAGTAGAATGGAGATGTTGCCGATATGGTACAGCTCCAGAATCAGAATCACGGCCAAAATATCCAATCTTACCCTTTTTGAGAAGTTCTTGTTAGAAACCCACAGTCTAGCTACTGACTCATAATTGGCGCCCACTGCCTTTTTGAATTAACTTTGCACAACCTCCCAGATAGCAGAGGAAACCACACAATCAAAGAATAAATGGGTGATGTTTTCATCACAGGCACAAAAGAGACATTCTCTACCTTTGTCTATATGTCTTTTGAGCAATTGTTTTTAGTCATTAATTTATTATGTCCTAGCAGGCAGAGAAAAATATGAGAGGGACAGACAGCTTCCAAACTACAGGAATGTAAACTAGACAGCTTCCAAACCGCAGGAATGTAAACTGGTTGCACACTCTGGAAATTAATAACCGAATAGAAAGCGCTAGTAGAATAAACACCATTCTTCTCCAAACGCCAGATCAAGGCATTTGAATCACCAGAGAAAGTAATGCTCTTACCTATTTCTACCAATTCATACCACTTCTCCATCACCTGGGGAGTAAAGGACTTCCAAAAGGTACTTTTAAGGTTGTCCCCATCCCACACAGTTTTGCTACTAACATTCTTCTCCATGCAAATGAGGTAAAGATACCAGTATTGCACATCAAGGGGAGTTGTACCAATGCAAGTATCTTCCCAAAACCTAATTTAATCCCATCCCCCACCATCCATCTATAACCAAATTTGATGGCTTTGATTAGATGTGACCCCTTTCCAGAAGGTGGAAGCATTGGTGGAGGAGCTCATGAAGATGTTTGGGGAGGTATTTGAGTATTTGCCATCAATTACTTGTTTCCGGAGTTTCCCACCCCCCTGGATATATCTCTTAATCCAAGAGCCTAGGAGACTCATATTCACTTCTTTAAGGTTTGGGATCCCTAAACTCCCATACTCCCTTTTCATGCAAATCATCCCCCAATTGGCTAGGTGATGCTTCATGTTCCCCTCAAAATCACTCCACAGGCAATAGGTAGGGTTCTTCCCAAATCTCTAAGAGATATGGTCTTGGGATATAGTCTTCTCAAATCCAAAGGATATGGAGGTCTTGGTAATCCAAAAGGGGATTCTTCTCCTTAGGAGGTGTTGATCCTCTAGGACAAGATAAGATGAGCAAAACTCTCTCAAGATCTAGTTTTGCTTTGCTAACCCTAGAAAATGGGAGAGTTGCGAAATATATAGGTGCTAGAGGCAAGGGAGGAAGTTTCCCGGTCACTGCTCGCATGCAAGCACATGCGCACGGGGTAAAGGGGGTGTGGGAACGGGGTGTCCAGAGAGTTAGCGAGGGACCCCATGCGCACGGGATGTCTAGAGAATTTCTGGGTTAGTCCGTGCGCACGGGGGTGCAGGGCTCTGTGGGCACGGGGTATGCAAAGAGAGCTTCTACTCGTCTTCAGTCTCTGGGCATCTTCTTCGATGCCTCCTTCTTGCTCCTTCTCGTGGACCTGGCGTTACTTCCTCGCTTCTCCGTGGTGGTCTTCATCGTACCTAATCACACATAGAGTTCCACTTTGAGGTAGTAGCCAAGTCTCATCCAAATCTATAGGGAGCTCAAGTAGGAGAGAATTACCTCAGTCTATGGCACGTGCACGAGCTCTAGTCATTGATCCATTTGGAGCTTGTGGGGTTGATGGTGATGTCTGTAGGGTGCTCTGCACCACCAAATCCATGCGAAGAATGTGTGTAAATCATTCCACAAAAAATATAGCACAACAATTAAACAATTCAAACAAGCCAACATGATCCACGACAAATAAAATTCAACAATGCAAAGATAACCGATAAAACAAATGAATCAAGCGCTTTTGTTGCGCTCGTTGATGTCTTTGTGCATGTTGGTGAAGAACATCTTGGCCTTGTCATCCATAAGGCTAGTGTAGGCTAACATGATCCTTGACTCGTCGGTGATCCTCGCAAGCCTCACCTTCTCTCTATCAATCTCAATGCCCCCCTCGCCCTTGCCTTCTGAAGCTCTATATGCTCCCATGCCTTCATCTTCTCTCGAACCTCTTCCTATCGACTCCATCTTATCCCTTTGAACATGCAAGTAGAGCTTGTATCCTTTTTTTTTTCAATTTGACGCCTTTGTCGGGAAGGAGTTCTTTCCATGTGGTCGGCATTTTGCTCGCCACTCCGTCACTCGCGACCCTATTTTTCTCTCACTTCTTCCTCATCATGATCCCATTTCTCTCCGATTCGGTCCCAAGTCTGGTTACCGCTCGACTTGTTTCATCCTCTTCATCCAACCCAATATATTGGTGGGGGCTTGAGCCATCATTGTTTCCTTCTTCTTTTCAGGGTTCTTGAGATCTTAAAAGAGGGTTGCCCACTTGGGTCTCCCTTCCAATTCCAACCAACAATGCGGCATAGTGAACGGCTTCTTCTCAATTAGATGAGGTAATATCATCGGGAGTCATAAACTTGCGCTCAATGTTCAGTTTGGTGCTAAAACTTCTAAAATACGGATTTGTGGTCACATAACTTGTCCCCACATACAAATACGGTGCTTCCTCTCGTATCCAGCCGCATGGCCTATCCACATGGCGTGCCAGATTGGTGGAGGCCCATCTGTCAGTGGTTGGGAATGCACAAGGCGTTAGGTGACATAGCAGACCGATTTCTTTATAGAGAACCCCCTCACAATTTATTTAATTGCGCATAAAACCATCAAATATAATAAAAAATGATGGCGATCTCTCAACCTCGAGCATGGAAGCACATAAGCTAACTGCTACACTAAGTATCTATCGGTGTCTATAAAGAGAAACACCAAATTTTATATATTGTCCATGACAACTACTCGTATTCACGTTTTTTTTCTCTCGGACTGAATTTTCGATAACCGATTGGTCCCAGAAAATTCGGTGGTCCCCGGAAAAATTGATATCGCCTGAAAATTTTGAATTTAAATGACAGAAAATATGTCAAATATAATAACTTTTGCATGCATACAATATCATATCTATACCACTACATAGTACACATAATTTTTTGAACTTGGAAGTCCACTGCAGCATCCCACCAAATTCCCACTGGATAGATCCAAGCCGCCTATTTGCAAGTTAGGATTGCTATCCACCACTCATCAGAACGCTACTCAACAGATTGGATGGTTGAAAATGATTGGATTCGCCATCATGCCTTCCCGCGTGCAAACTTCTGTGTTGAAGCCGCTGGACACTTCTGGACAAGTACATCACGTCAACAAGAAAGTCCGCTATCTGCGATTAGTACACGTGAATTGGGCTTGTGAGCTGGGAGGCCGACATGGTCATACACCTCCCAAGATCATGTGTAAATGGAGACATTATGGCCTACCGTTCAACCAATGTACACGGTGACATTATCTACAACAATAGCTTTGTAAATAAACTACTCCTACGATAGCTCGCACAAAGAAAAATAACTCAATACGGTTGTTGTAGAGACATGCCATTTTGTTGTTGTCAAACTGAAAACGTGACTATTTAATCATATCAATTTGTTTTCTTGTTGATATTAGCATACATAGATTACAAAAATGTGAGATCGATAAAATGATATCAAACTACCATGCATTTGACAGTTTGCCTACGGACCACATTATCCATCAATCGAATCATTGGACTTGTAATGATTTTTCAAAAAAGATGTGTCCATTCCCCCTACATCACAAAAGGAATATAGACTCACACTTACCCCCACGTGATTACAAATATGAGCGAATGATTAAATATTATTTGTAATACAATATAAAAAGACTTGATTG